TTGGGAACATCAGGTCCACCTCAGCCTCAGTCTGTTTCAAATTTTGTTCATATGTCAAAGCCATTGAACCAGGTGAGAATGGAACGGGAAAGTTTGCTACTTCTTCTTCTGCCGAACCGGGTAATGCTGCAGCTCCTCCTTCCACTGTTGGCTCTTCAACTTCAACTTCCATATCTGTCAAACCAGGCAATGCTGCTCGTTTTAGCTCTGGGATTGCAGGAAGGGTGTCAACAACATGGCTAGCATGCCTACCATGTCTGAGGCTTCTTCTACCAAAGGGTTCTAATGTTACAAAGTTGCCTGATACGCTTCCATGAATTCATGAAACAACCTATATGCGCGCAACCAAGCTTGCGAGGTCAGGTCAACGATGCTTGTAAGAAACTATGGATATCTTTATCCCCTTGGGCAATCACTTGTCTTTGCAGACTTGCTGGGTCAAGGTGGAACTCAGCAAACTGCAGTTCTTCGTGGAAGCTTGCGCTGCTCACACCCACGGCGCGCACGCAACCCAACTTGCACAACCAACGCAGCGCCGTCTGTAAGTTCCACTGTTTCTGCTTCTTTCTGTTTCTACTGCAGAAGCTGCTTTCGAAGTTGCTTTCTACTTCTACGTCTATGCCTGGCGCAAGTCTTTGTAGGTTCGCAGGCTCAAGGAGAAACTTCTACTTTCTGATTCTAGTATTCTATTTTCTGCTTCTTCTTCCACTACTTCTATAGGGCTGATCACTCAGGTCCTCAAGTCAAGGCTAGGCTCACAGTTTGGCCAGAATCTGCGCTGCCATCTGGTAGCTGGCAGTGCCTCTTGTGCAGCTGGCAGCCATGGACTTCACCAGACAGGCCTGGGAGTCAAGAATCTGCCTTGTTCGGGGAAGTGGGCAAGCAAGCGTAGTAGAACATGCTGCTGCTGCTGCTGCTGCCAGCCAAGATAGTGGCTCAGGATCTCCTAGCAGGCTTGCTGGAACTCAGCCTGCTGAACAGATGAAAAGGCACACTGCGGATCACAAAGGTCATGAAATTCCATGCCTATTTTCCCCTTCGTCATCATCTGCGTATTGCCATGTCAATATTACTGCTGCGTGTGCAAACCATCGAACCTTTTGCAGATGCTTCAGGCGAGGGTAGCCTGCCCTAGCTCTTCTACAGTTTAGTGACTCTTTGGCCGGCATGCATATCTAACTCATTTTGTACTTCTTGGATCTTCTGATTCAAAGGGCCCAGCAAAGTTTCCTACCACTTCCTGACCTCATCAACGACATCAACCAGCAGGTTGGCAAAGACATGGCTGGCCACGCGTGCAAACGGTCTAGCTGTCCAGAAGAACACAGCAGGAACCTGGAACAGTGACAGTGGATGGAAACTGTTGCATCTGCAAGATGCGAAGGAAAGTTGACACTTGCGCTTGGGAGCCACTCCAAGGCCAGAGGGATTGGAGGGTCCTCTGACATGTTTCAAGCACTGTGTCAAAGTGCTTTTTGCAAGTGCGATAATTACGGTATAGGCGTAGTCATCCAGATACCTTTTGGGGGAGTGTCCATAGCGGTTCAATTCAACAACAGTACGATCATGCACTAGTTTTAACACACAAATCTGCAGATTTATCTGTTGTTACACATGTATAATGTTTCACAAAGCACTGGTTTTTCATGCAGCATATTATTTCCGTTGCTCAGATTGACAACGGGCATGAGACAGTATTCAACTATGCGCTCCGGTTGGCATGATCTCGGGAATGGGAAGCATTGCTTGCGGTCAACGCTGCTGCGGCAAGCAGAAGATGGAATGGAGCTATCTCAAATTTATGGTCCCTTTTCGGGTCCCTATTATAATACGGCCCCTAATATTTAGGGTACCCAAAAAGGGACCATAATTTCGACAACCAACCAGTTGGTGATTGGCAGAGTTTTCAGAGCTTACCCCAGCCTGGTCCAAGTTGTATCATATCGGCTTTGCCATTCAGCTGGCCCTTGCAGCTCCGGTGTCAGGCTTCAAGGATACCTTGCTTAAGGCCAGTTTCAGTGCGGCCGTGCAATTTCGTTGCGGTGCTGCCGAATGTCAGGACCGAAACAACCTGCAAATCGGCTAGACTTATGGAGCTCCCAAACCCCAACCATAAAGTTCTGAACTCCAGCTCTGAATTCTGATAAAGCTGCCGGCCTTGCACCAACTCCAAAAAAAAAGCACTCCATCAGCAGGAATTGTGCTATTGAAGCAGGACTAGGACAGGCTCCGTCTTTCGCAGAATTGCTTTGGTGCTCTTTGACCCTAAGACACTTTGCCGGCCCGCGGCTGAATGTGAAGCATTGCAGGGCCCACAAGCACTGACTGCAAATGCTTGCCTGAGCAATTATTTGGCATTAAGCAGTTGTGCGAGGGCATTCAGGTGACCTAGAGCAGCACGTACTACACGTACATACCGGAACCCGGAGCCGGCTGGGCAATGATGAGCATAGATGGATCGCAGCGAAGTGCTGCTTGATTTGCTGGAAGATGAGAACTTCAAGTCACCATGCACGTTAAATGAATCCAGCGTCCCGGGACGTCACCATCACCCCCTCGCAAAAGCGAATCCCGCGTCTCTGTACGTAGATCTGACAGTTTGACAGTGTTCAGGCTGGTGCCACACTGCTGCAGCATAGCCTCAAGGTTTCCATAGACAGGAAGGTCAGAAGTGTTTTTCACTCCAGCCGGCAGAGGTTGCTATTTTACCCCGCAATTTACCTTGGACAGCACCAACCACAGTCCTGGCATGTGTGAGATTTTGTTAGACAGCAATCCCACAATTCGCACATCAACAGCCAGACGCGCAGCGCTTGCGAGCAGCCGGACCATGGCATGCTTGTAAGCTGCTCACATGGCAAAAGGAGGAGACCAGTGATTCTTCCGCAGCTTTCTACGATGAGCTGTTAAAGAAACTTCAGGAGTGGCAGTCGAGTTGCCGGAGCCAGGGGAGGCCATCTGAAGCGCACAAATTACATCTTTTTGAAGGGTTCTCCAGGTACTGGTCTGGGAGAAGCTTGCTGCCTGCGTTGACAACTTCAGGGAAGAGCTGCATAGCTGGAGCTCAGAGGAGATGCAAGCCCTATTTTTTCTCAGTGTGCCTGTTGTGCC